CTATTTTTTCACTTCAGTGTAGAATTGTCCATCTTCTAACTACAGAGTTATCCACAATGAATGAGACAAAAGGCATTGTCTTTTAGCTAACATTCATGGTTTTATGCAGTTGTAAATTCTTTATTTCTGTTCAAAATCCTCAGTATTTAGTTTGAAAACTGTAAGCATCACAGAAACCTAAATTGAGCCTAAAAACGTCAGATTCTAAAAGTTTAAAGTCGGCATTAAAGTGTTATATTGTGTGGGTAACCGTATAGTATACTTCTCCCCTCATACCTCAGTGTTTATTCTATTCTGAGCCCAAGCTCTTCAGTTTCAACTCGGAATGCCAATCCACAATTACTTTATACCCACACCCAAATCCACTTTATACCCCCTCCCAAATCCACTTTATACCCCCTCCCAAATTCACTATATACCCTCTCCCAAATCCACTTTATACCCCTCCCAAATCCACCTTATAACCACTCCCAAATCCACTTTATACCCACTCCCCAATCCACTTTTATACCCACTCCCTAATCCATTTAAAACTACTCCCCAATCCACTTTTATACCCACTGCCAAATCCACTTCTATACCCACTCCCAAATCCAATTTTAAACCCACTCCCAAATCCGATTTTATACCCACTCCCAAATCCACTTTTATACCCACTCCCCAATCCACCTTATACTCACTCCCAAATACACTTATAAACCCCATCCCCAAAATCCACTTTATACTCTCTCCCAAATCCACTTTTTATCTCCTCCCCAATCCATTTTTCACTTCCTCCCCAATCCACTTTATATTCCCGTCAACATTTTCCAACCAACATTCCGTAATCTATTTTTATTCGACCATTTTTCCTTGTAAAAGAATAAGTAGTAAGTACGTTACCTAAGAATGATTTAGTTTTTTTCTTGTAATGGGTTTTATGATTTTTTTTCTTTCAAACAGATAAAAATCCCTTTTAAGAACTGCATACTGTATACTGCCTTCTCATTAATAATATATTCTGAAATGGTTTCTCTAGCTGCTGGTGTAAGAATATTGGAAATATATCAACCCTTCAACTATATAATTAACCTAACTACTCTAAATCACTCTATATTAACAAACTATAACCCCCTAGCCACTTATCAAATGAAGCTGAAATTCTAGATAGTTTATACATTTAACCCTTAACAGACTGCATTGGGGGGGGGGAGTTTTTAATTTTCTTGCTGTTTTTTTGCGCAAGTTTATTTTTTCCATTCAATGCCCGAATCACTGCGGTATCCTTTAAAGCTTTGTCTGTATAAATTAAAAATCAATGTTTATATCTTTGAAAACTGGTGATTTGCAATTGTGGTTTCGACTCTAAAAAAAATTACTTGCTTACTTCTACTGAAGGAAAGGATACAGGAATTATCAGAATCAAGCACAATTTAACCTACTAAGAACGAAAATTTATTCCATCTTATTGATAGGATTAAGGTTTCAAGGTTAGTGTTGTGAATCGAGAATCGTCTACATTGCATAGAGAGTCACTCGAAATTATGCTTACAGTCCCTTTAAACGCAGAAATCCAGAGAGATTTGAATACTGGTATTAATATTCAAGACCTGGGATGGAATTTAATGAATTGAAGAGGTCGATGAACTACAAAATCATGTTTCACTGATTCAAAGTTAAATATTTATGAGGATTTGAATCCGTGATTTAGTATTGAATCAGTGCTAGGAAGTTCAGCGAATTCCAGGTCGATTTTGTTGTTTTCATTTTTTACCTTCCCAGCTAACTTTTGTTTTTTACCCTTGATGTTTATATTTTTCAATTATAATGTGCTTGTGTTAAGGAGCAGATGAAAGTTAAGTAGTCGGCAAAATACTTAAAAAACATTTTGCCTGATAGCGTGAACATTTTACCTATATTTACAGGCAGTTTTGCCCGGAAAAGTCAAATATGGTGGCCCGGAAGGGGAAATAGTGGTGTCTAATAGCTGCCGGAAGAGAAAAAATCTAATATGTGGCACGGAAGGAGAATAGCGGTGGCTCATGCCTGCCTTCCCCCACTCATATAATACATATTATATAATAATTATATGGAATATGTGTACTCAAATTTTATTTTCCAAGGGGTTTAGGGCGCTTCTTATTTCTATTGTAAAAATTTTAGTTTAAACTGTTGCTTTTCAAATTTTTTTCATCTCTAATAAAATAAATTTCGCAGATTAAAAAAAATGTCGACATTTCATTATTGGTAAAAGAAAAAAAAATTTTACGGTTTTTCTCTCTCATATTTCTTTAAAATCTGAACTTTAGATTTAAAATAATGAGACTACACATATTTATATGTCAGAAGCAATTCAAGGGAATTCATGCAGGATTTAATTAAGGAGAGAAGAGACCCCCTCTTTAGAGTTACAAAAACGTTCAGAAATATGTTGTGAAACCTTGAAGATCCTGGACCTGAAGAGCCCAAAACCTTGAAGATCCTGGACCTGAAGAGCCCAAAACTTTAACGACAGTTTTAAAACCCGGGTTTCACGAATGAGGTTAGACAGTTATGTGAATATTAATATTTTTGTCATGAAATATTATTTTATTCAGCTTGCTATTATTCTCAATTTTTTTTAATCTTTCAAATTAAAATCTATACATGCAATGTTAAGACCTTAAAAAGGAAACTTGGGAGTTTTTTCCAACGATACTCTTTTAAATTTCGAGCTCAGGCATGACGTGATAGATTTATTTATACATATATTTGTATTAGCTGCAAATTTAAATTTAGTTACTGACTGAGCTCTTTTTTGTTTTGATTTTTGAAGAAGAAAAACTCAAATTCTTTTTATGATTGGCACTTTTTTACAATTTTACAATTTTAATCTTACATTAAAATATTTCTTAAATTTAATTCCATCTTTGCTTTGTCATTGACGATAATAAGAATTATGATTCAAACATATGCGCAGTTAAAACCAATTCAGATGCATCAAGGGGGGGGTCACGAAAAATTAAAAAATTTAAATATACAATTACTTAGTTTTTTTTCGACGGATTTTGAATTAAGATCAAAATGTCACCAAGAATATGTCGATACATGTCAATATGTACTTTTTTGTAGTTAGTTTAACATGGGCCCGGGGTAGCCTTTTTTCAATGTTAAAATGAAAAAGAATGAAACGAGGAGGGCATTACATTCTTAAAATTTGGGTTGAAAGACTATACATATTTATTCAGAATAGATTTAACCTCATTTAGATTCAGAATAGATTTAACCTCATTCAGATGCAGAATAGATTTAACCTCATTCAGATTCAGAATAGATTTTAGGACAAAGTCTTCACCTTTATTCAAGCAATAATTTACTTTATCGTTAAGTAATTAATGTTTTCAGCCCCCTCCCTTCCCCCAACAAAAGAAAAAAATTAGCTTAAACTTTAATTTTGATCAAACTATTCTGAATTTTCCAGGAGACCTTCTTTTCAGCTTGTTTTTGAAGCATTCCTCTGATTGAATTTGCTCAGATTCAGGACTCAGGATTCATGAATCGCTAAATTGCAAAACAGGGTGGACTTCTTGCCCCCACTACAGAGGGGGCAAGCCTTCTTAAGGGAGGGGCATGCCCCCCTTAATCAGGCTAAGGGGGGCCTTGCCCCCCCCCTACTTGCACGCCTGGAATCTATGTTTTATACTGGGTGCATGCATCCATACAATATTTTATAGAAACTTTTTTTCTAGATATTAATATTTGCCCCAAAATATCTAAATATTTTTGAATATTGTTTTTTAAGACATAAATATGGAAAAAATTATGTGTTTTTAGATATTGTTGTAAACAACATAGTAAGCTAAAGGAATTGAGTTTTAGTCACAAAATCGAAATTTCTGATTCCTTAAACTTTGCAACCCAATACCGAAGACCATTGATATTTTAAACTATGAATTCTGTTTGTTAGATCGAATAACCTTAATGACTTGAAAAGTCACTATAATAAAATAAAGAGATCTAAAATGGATATTTCTAACATTTATTTAAAACGAAAGTGTTTTGAAATATTTGCATTTAAGGCGGAGTTAAAATTGGTTGATTTAGAAATTAACAAAGGAATTATGGATGGATATTTGATGGTACTTCATGGGAGTGTTGTAGAGCTTCATGTTGGTGGAGCAGATCAACAGGAACTGGGGCAACAGGGCTTATCCAACCTAGTAGGCAGAGATCGCGGCTTTATCATGCTGGATTTGAGCGATTATGTTGTCTCTGGAAGTGGAGTGCATGATAAACTGGGAACCCTCGGATAAGCCTGTCTGCTGCTAATTGAGTATCTGCGTCATCATCATAAAGGAGTCAAGAGGCTCCCTGTGTCGGAGCTGTTACTAGTTCAACTGTCCTAACATGACTGAATACTGGGAGCTGGGATGGGCGGAGATTCGACACGTGGGCACTACATGAGGAGGAAATGGATCTTGAGTACACATACATCTAGAGAAAAGGCTACGGCAATTTGAGTCGGAAAAATCGTCTTCCTTATATTTCGAATTAATTTTAACAAACCTAGGTTTGAAATACCAAAGGTTTACACTATACAGAGTGACACAGCTCAGGTTCAATTTACTATTAATAAAAAAATATTAAAGTTTTTTTTCTATACACTATTAATCACAGTCAACGCTAAACTTTTATAAAAAAGCTCAAAAATTAGGAATGCATAGATAAAAAAAAATATTGATCAAAAATTGCGAATACTGAAGAAAACTAGGATAAACGGATCCCAAGTTTTAAATTATAAATCAGCTTTTATTATTATTTATCAGCAGATACCTTTTATTATAAGAATTAATAAGACAATATTTTTGTTTGCATTGTATTTGTAAATCAAATTACTGAAAGAAATACAGAAAATTATAAAACTTAACGTTTTCATTTACCTATTCATCCTTGAAAATCATAACCTTTGTTGTTTTCAAACAATTGTGAAAAACCAGTTCTCTGATTATCTGTACTCTAAACCTTTATTTCTTTAAGTTCTAGGATCAGAAGATTACAGTTTGTGTTTGCATTGTGAATGTATCATCTTGTGAGTGTCTCCTCCTCTTCTTCTCGTACTTGTAGAGATGATTCATTCAGTTCTCTGCATTTTGGTAAGTCTAAAAATCTTAAACTTTATTCTGGTTATTCCTGGTATACACAAAGGTTATCGTTCACAAGGACCCCTAAAATATTCATCATCTTATGATAGTTTCGTTGTTACTTATAATAAATACTTACTATGCCTGTGTGTTTCTATCCAATAAATGTAAGAACGGCTGAACCGATCCGGCCCAATATTTTTGCGGGACCTCGGCATAACCCCGGGGAAGGTTAAAGGAATAATCAAAATTTTAAAAAATTAGCCTCTAGCAAAATTAAATGTTCACTAAATTTTAAAAAACTAAAACTTTTTTATATAAAATCCGGCAACTTTTTATTTTATTTTACAAAGATAATGCTCACCAAGTAGAAGATGCCTAGTGAATTAAACTTTTATAGTCTTAATTATCTCGCTAATCTTTTATATATTTAGGCTGTCCAGAGTGCCGTGGTTACGTTAGGATTGCCAACTGCTCTAAATGAAGGATATCCATTCAGGCATACCCATAACTCTGCAGATCTCGGGCATGTTCATGTTTTTGGAGCCAATGCTAAGGATCAAGGTAATGCCACCTGGGGACACAAACACGATGTTGGGTTGGATACAATTAAAAAGTGGTCAGCTGGTCCAAGCATTCAAAATGGCGACCTAGTAATCCGTGAAGAGCCTTCTGCTAAATCCACCATTCAAGATGTCGGCCTAGTTGCACGAGGAGAGCTTCAAGATGTCGGTCTGGTTACACGAGGAGAGCTTCAAGATGTCGGTCTGGTTACACGAGGAGAGCTTCAAGATGTCGGTCTGGTTACACGAGGAGAAAGAAGTTTGGGCGCTTTCAAGGCAACGCACAACAGTGGACAAAGGAGGCATACGAGGCCGTTAACCATCCGTCGTAAATACAAGCTGAGGAGTCTGGATGGTTAAATAATGTTACTCTTATTTAGAAATGAACAATAGTTTAGAAACTACACTGTACATAAACTGGTATTAAATTTCGTGTAATATAACCTTTGATTTTTAATAGAATGAAATTGTTTCAACTCGTAAACTTTTTCCTTTCAGCTTTTTTATAATTCTTTTTCAAAGGTTTTACTCTCGTATTGGGAAATAACAATTCAATTTTCCCAACTTTGTATATCATTATTCGTTTAGCTGTATTAAAATTTGTATTGTAATTTTTTAATTAAAAATTCTTAGATGTAGATAATAGATTAATAAAATTTCGGATAATTGGCGACTTTTAACTTTTTTAAATCCTGATTAATTCTCTTGTGATCCAACGAAAATGGACCCAATTAACCTAGTGTTTTATGATTTAAAGCTCATGAGATTGTACACAGTTTTAGTGTTGTTCAAGGTGTTTATCTTCAAAATAACTGTCTTTACTACTTTGTGATCTTGTCGAAAGATGAAAGGAAGCTTAATTCGACGACCTAAGACTGTTCATCGGTATAATTCTATCCTGAGGCCGTGTGGTCGTGTAGTTCACGTACTTTGGGGGACGATATGTTGGCCGCTAGATATGTCTCGTGCTAAATCTTATCTGATTGATATTTCTCAGTACATTTGACGACCAATATAAGAGACGTTAAGAACGGCCTCTGCATAAAACAATTTACTAAAAAACAATAAAATTCAGCAACTTTGAAGATGTTAGGTGGTACATACAAACCATTAGACTAAAATGCTCTAATATGAATTATTCTTTATTACACTGCAAAAAACGTTATTGCATTTAACGGGAAAATTACATTTAGCTATATCGCAGACTGTGCAAATAAATTATAGCTACTGCAGTTATATCGAAATACATATTCCTTGAAGGAAACAACATTCTTTATACAATTACAGTGGACATTAGTTCCAAAACGGGATAATGACCCACTTCTAACACTGGCTGTTAGAAATGTGCACAAATAGAAAATTAAATTTTTTTGCAGATTCTAAAAGTAGAGCACAAGAGCTTTCTAATGATGTATCATTTGTCATATTTGGACACAAAACATGGGATTTAGAGGGGGGGGGGTCAAATTGACCCCCCCCCAGCGTATCCTGGTTTTCAAGTACCCCAGCAGAGATAGGGTTAAGATCCCGACCCATAGTGAGAGTGAAAGTCGATAATAAAATTTATAACCTCTCAAAAATAATGATACAAGATCTTTTAAATGAAAAATCTTTGACCGTTTTCAAGACAATGCCAGGTTTCTAACGCTCAGTGTTAGAAATGGACCAAAATCCCAGCAATTGGAACTAATTAACAGACAATGATATATTTCATCAAATCATTTCATTTCACTTCTTATAAACTTTTTATTAAGAAATAAGGAAATGACTGTCACAGTTTCTTTCTAAATATCATCCATTAGTTTTAAAAAACTGCATGGTCATAACAACTTTCTTCCTGACAATGTGAGCTAGACAGATAGTGAAGGTCAAATTTGTCACCTCTAGTTTCCTCCTTACCTTTTTCCTGATTTATCATTATTCTTATGCTTAAAATGTACAATGTACATTGTTTTTTATCTGCAATTCTCATTCGTTTATAGTGGGTCAACCAATTAAAACAACCTACTCTGGTTAGGCGGGTTCAAACTACATAGTTTTGATCTCATGTCCAGTTTCGAAAAAAGCTAAATTTATTTGGTTTTATATACATAATATACAAAGAGAATAGGATATATATTAGAGGGGAATTTACTAGAAAAAAGTGTAAAACGGCCATTTTGTTGTATTGTTTCCATACTGCAGGTGTACTTCACATATAAATGCCATATATCCTGTTGGGCCCTGGAATATCATTTTATAGAAGATCTAAAATTAATATTAAAAGAAAACCAAATTATGAAATAGGCTGGTTTCATAATTGACCAATGACCATTTCACATAGACTCTATGCCTTTCACATTACAAACCATGATTTTCCGTTATATCAAATGGTGTTTTTTATTCACCTAATTCATTATAAAGTATATTTAACAGCTTTAAAAAATTCGAAGTTGAAATGGATAGTGTAGGGAACATACTGTATAATGTACTCTACTGCATATAATTTGTGAACATTTACATGATTTGTACACTTTGAACTCCTTTTCAGGCTAAAAGGGACTGAAAAAATTCATACCGAGAGATTCTCTAAATTCCCCTCTAATATATATTCTATTCTTTTTGATAATATATAATTTCAAAACATGTTTGTTCCTCATCTTCTTATAGCAATAAACGGACATGGTTGAAAACACATAATATTTTAATCTTAATTCCTTTGCAAGAAGCAATTTTTTGCCCTATTTCAAGTGACACTCCATTTAAAGAATTGCACGTACGATAAAACATCCGCCCCCCCCCCCTCACCCTCCCACTCTAACTCTTAACATATCATAAGACTTGAGAAAAAGATAATTAAGGTTGGCAGCGTTTAAATATATAAAAAAGAAAAATTTATCATCAGTAAAAACTGAGTTTGATAAATGGCTTTATGGCTGAGGTACTAAGCTTACCGCTGGGATAAAAGGTTCAGAGTTCGGACACTACAGGACCCATGCATTAGATCATGGGAGGTTTATAGTTAGCATTATAAATATCTTTACTTTGTAACGACAGGGGGAGGTTTAATTACCATTAGGGATGGATCATTTCCACTTTTTTGAAAAACAATCGTTTTTCGTTATTTAAAAACAGGTTTTTCAAAAACGATTAGCAACCCTAATTATTCCGTACAGGGGCAAATATCAGCTGCAGGGTTGCCCTTAAAGGATGAGACCGTGTAAAATTTGAGAATATCAAGAACATATATATATATATATACATGGATTAGTTATATATTTATATATATATTATATTCAATTAAAAAATACTCCAAGAATTCAAATTTAATATATCAAGAACTGAGAATACAATTTTGAGATTTCCATTGTAATACAATATTTAAAATTGATAATTACATATTGAATATAGACGACTATACACACTGCACAACATGTGCTTCGTACTTTATCATTTACTTGAACAGACGATAACAATTCTTTATAAATTAAAAAATATTTAAAATTTGAAATGTTAAGCTCATAGAATTTTTGTTTCTCAACAATTGTATATTTTAATGATTGAACTATTTATAATAAATAAATTACATAAAGAAAAAGTTCTCAATAATCATTCCAGAATTGTTACCCCGTCTGATAGGTTGGATTTTACCCCATCTGATAGGTTGGATTTTACCCCATCTGATAGGATGCATTTTACCCCATCTGATAGGATGGATTTTACCCCATCTGATAGGTTGGATTTTACCCCATCTGATAGGATGGATTTTACCCCATCTGATAGGTTGGATTTTACCCCATCTGATAGGTTGGATTTTTACCTCATCTGATAGGCTGGATTTTACCCCATCTGATAGGCTGGATTTTACCCCATCTGATAGGATGGATTTTACCCCATCTGATAGGATGGATTTTACCCCATCTGATAGGTTGGATTTTACCCCATCTAATAGGTTGGATTTTACCCCATCTGATAGGTTGGATTTTTTTTTCATATGGAGAGCAAAAAAAAGTGCCGGAGGGTTTAATGAAGGATTTTTCTCTTTGGGGGACTGGAGGCTGAAACCATTAACAATATATTACGAAAAAGTTTGTTCGCTCGTTTCACTTAATTAAAACAATTGCCTTTAAACTTCATTTTTTGCAGAATTCTAATTGAGATAACTATACCTAATTTAATTCCATAATGAATTGAATAACTAGATTACCTTAGACAACTTTTAAGCAATTAAAATGCATTATCAAGGAATTAATTTTTTACAACAATTTCTGATTTCAAATCCCTATATCTTTGCAACCTAAAGTCGTACACCTGAGATATTTCAAATTATGAATTATTTTAGATCAAATAATCTCAGTTTGAAATATCAGAGGTTTAAACTATCAGGTTGGAAAGGTATAGGGATTAGAACATTTAAGTTTTTGGCAAAGAAAAAAAAGAAAAATACTGATATTTGAGAAATGTTGCGATTTCAGTTACCAAACGAAGCGAGGCCCCAAGAAATTCTACATTTTTAGATTAAGGAAAATCAAGAAAATCGCACTAAATACTATGTGGACGTAATTTGAAGTGACCCCGCGAGGAGGAAGGGGATCAATTTATAATCCGAGATGATCTTTAAATCTCTATCTGTGTAAAAGAAAGGAAGATATCGTCATGATTTGTGAAAACACGGTAGAAAAGAATATTTTTCATTGATCCTTACATTCCCTTTAATAAATTTGAGAGAACCAAACCCTTTAAAATGCAGGATATGGCCATTTTGATATTCAGAACTCAGTGTTGAATATTTATCAATGCATTGAGAATATATGCAGAGCACTCTTTTGAAAACTCCAGAAATTCAAAATAACTATTACTGTGGAATTGTATTCAAAGATATTTTCACGCATATCATCAATCTTTAAAAAAAACTTGATTTTATTGAAATATTTCTAGTTTAAGCGGCTCTCATTGAAGTTTTTTAATATAATTTTAAGTTGCCTCTTTTCATTTTCATAACAATACATGGAAATCACAACTTTAAGGGACAGTACGCGTCATTTTAAGTGAACCTCCATGCACACGCACCTCTGCCCCTTTAGTAAAAGTAAATTCAACCTTTATGAAGCATAAAGTCTGACCGCGTCAACCTTGTTGCACAGGCTAGTCCTGTCCATAGAGCTAGGTACAGTACAAACTGGGACCCGGCTCGAAAATTCAAATGTACTGCGGCTGCCCGTGTGCAACGATGACGATGCCCGATTTACAACGGTACCCTAGGGAAACCTTTATCTGATTAATAATATGGAAGATTTTTGACATTTTGCTAGGTTTAAAAGTGCATAATTTTGATAATTCTTATATGATTCATGAATAGGATTGTGCAAGTTATTTTTCTCGTGAAAGCACAATAAAATATTAATATCTGATTCATACTGTCTTGATCAGACCAAGATTTTAAGGCGAGAGTTTTCAATTTGGCATTCCCATCTCTGCATGGAGATTCGCTTGAAATTAATCTTTATGTCTCGTATTTTCATTGTAAAGCCTTTTGATAAAGCTCAAGTGAAATTCATGATAAATAAAGTCCAGAATTATATAAGACAATTAATACAAGCCTCGCCAAGTTTAAAACTTAAAGAGATTGTTCACATTTTTGAAAGAAAAAAATCTATTATTTTCATTTTTTAATTTTTCCTTTTGCGACAGAGTTGTAGGGATAAATCTGATAAAGAAAACTTAAAGAAAGTTGAAAGAATGTTTAAATGTCTGAAAAAATATTTTCTTGATGAAATGAAATGCAGTTTATGTTATTAGAATAACATTATTTGTTAATGTAAGAATTCAGTGTTCAAAGTAGGGTTTGCAGCGAAAAGAAAAATTTCGCTTCAACTTGTTACGCGAAAAAATGTGAAATTTTTGCGAAATAAGAAATGCGAAAATTTCGCAAATAAATGCGAAAATTTCACGAAAATATTCTGAATTTATTAAAGAAATGCAAAATTTCTGCGAAAATTCATCAAAAAAGACAAACCTATGGTTTTTGCGAAAATTTTCGCATTTTTTCGCGAAAAGTTTAATTCGGTGTAAACCCTAGTTCAAACTGATGGAAGATAAATAGATTTACAAAATTTTACAAATTAAAAAATTACAATATGTGGCATAATAATTGTGCAGAAATTGTAACATTAACATTATATGTTCGATATAATTAATTCTTTTGATAGATTTGATCCTGGTTGTGACACGAAAATATGGCGCACAATCATTATGTTGTTTTAAGTTTAATATAACCCGCTAGAATCGGAGAGCGTGATCTGTTGAATGATTATGAAACTCTGCAGGAATCGCGTTTAAAGGTTGCGGCTAGTGAGCTTCTCCTTGTTGTGTGTGGTGTAGAGGTGCCCGACCCTCCCTCCCTCGCTACTCTGTGAAATGCTGGCACCTGCACAACATAACATATTTTTATAAATATATATCAATAACAACAATCTAATAATATTATTGATATGCGTATGTAGAGATTTTTTTATCAACATTCTGCAAAGTAAGCCGACATCTACATAATAATGATAAAATATGAATGCAGAAAATAGTTTAATTAATTTTTTTTTGCAATTAACGCGCGAAAAATGTAAAATCTTATTTGAATTTATGCATTTTCTGAAACATCAAAAATGTTCTTTTCGACAAAGAAAATCTTTACATATTTTTTATTTTTCATTTCCATAATTTTGGAATAGCATTTACACCTTGACTAAGAGTAGGAATTGTGTAAATATGGTTAAATTTCATATTTTAAACTATCATGCATGCTGCATGTTGTCATGATATTTTGCTGATTTGGCTTGTTTGCTTAATTCATAATGTGTTGATCTTGGTTTAATTTCAAGGTGAATAGCAACATTATGGTTCTAGGTTCTGAGCTGGGAACTTTTAAAGAAGTTTACATGAGTTTAATGAGGTTGAAACTTTTAAAGAAGTTTACATGAGTTTAATGAGGTTGAAACTTTTAAAGGAATTTACATGAGTTTAATGAGGTTGAAACTTTTAAAGGAGTTTACATGCGTTTAATGAGGTTGAAACTTGTAAGGAGTTTACATGAGTTTAATGAGGTTGGAACTTTTAAAGGAGTTTACATGAGTTTAATGAGGTTGAAACTTTTAAAGAAGTTTACATGAGTTTAATGAGGTTGAATTAAAGAATTTAACATGGGTTTAATGATATTGAAACTTTTAAAGATTAAATATTCTGGGCCAAAGGAATGGAGTCTTTGTAACAAACTCTGATTTGCTAATACCTATATTTTTTCCACCTGATGGTGTAAATCTTTGACATTTCAAACTTGGATTTTTTCATCTCACAGAATTCATAGTTTGAAATATCTAAGGTCTACGGCATTGGATTACAAAGATGCTGAGATTAGAAAATCATAGTTTGCGACAAAGACTCAATTCCTTACTTAACTTTCCATTTGGGTGAAACTATTTCATCGGAAATTAAAAATTACCATCAAAACTTTATGTTGTTTTCTATTTTTATTTTTAAAGAAAAAAATAAAAAAATTTCGCGAAGGTGTCATGTTAAGGTGTCAATTAATGACATAAATAATTTTGTGAAGAATGGTAAATTTCTATTTGGTTAAACTTGAAGATGGAATAACTGTTTACAGACAATAACACTTTTGTTTTTTGATTAGCAGCGCTTAAAATTTTTTTTCCCAGATCGGTTCAAAATATAAACTAAAAAGTCTAGAACCTTCGAGATACAGAGAAAACTTGAGTCCAACAACTGTATAACATGTAGTGCCAAAATAATATTGTTATGAAATTTGTGTTTACTTGTCTTGATACAGTATTTATTTCTATATTTTTAATAAGCCAGAAATAAAAAGCCCAGTAAATTTCAACTTCATTTTAAAATTAAATGGAACATTCGTTTTTTTTGACAAAAGCCGGGAATCAATGAAACTGTAGAGCATCGTGCTATAATAAACGGCTAATTTATCATTATAGCACGATGATAAAGTGCACAAAATCGTTTATATATTTTTCTAGTTTGATATTATATGGGAGGATGAGGATGAGCAGAGCTTTGATTGATGCCCACTATTCCTAAAGAACAATTACTGATGTTTAGCATACACTTCCAATGTATTTATTCAGATATGATTTTCAGGGGAATAGTTAGCATTTTCGAGTCAGAACATTTTTGTTTTGAATCTCGGATTTAAGCATTGATTAACGTCATCTTATGCAGATTTACGGTATCATTTAATTTATCTTAGATAGTCCATGGTGGTCATAGTCTACAGGGATAACTTGATAATTTAAGGATTAATCATTCATCCTCAAAGTACCCACATTTGATATCGAGATCAAGCGTTCAAGATTAACGATATTCCACACTAAACTCTAAATCACTTTTTTAAAGACATTTAATGCAATTAAATACGAATATTCTAACTCATTTTTGACGAGACTTTTTGTTTGCAAAGCTCACCTTCCAGTTTTGATATTAACTTGCAATTTACAAATAGAATATGTTTTTGCTAAATTTAGAACGAAAATTCAAAACGTATTTTTTTCGTGAATGCTCTAAATTTTTTTGATGAAGTTAGCTTAGTTCCAGCTATTAATAAATTAACTTTTCGTTATAACGATCTGAAGAGTACAATGGTGTTTACACTCTTCACCATCAAAAAAATATATTTAAATTACTGAAATTTTAAAGAAAAAAGCAATTAAAAAATACGAAATAATTCCACAGTCTTATTATCTAATGTGTTAAGCCCAGCCCTGTAACATTTATCGTAAAAAAATGTCAGTAATGATAAGAAAGTTCTTATTTAACCCTATCCCTGCTGGGGTACTTGAAAACCAGGATACGCTGGGGGGGGGTCAATTTGACCCCCCCCCCTCTAAATCCCATGTTTTATGTCCAAATATGACAAATGATACATCATTAGAAAGCTCTTGTGCTCTACTTTTAGAATCTGCAAAAAAATTTGCAAATTTGCGAAAATTGAATTTTTTATCGCAAAATCCAGTTTTATAGTAAAAATGATTGCAAAAAAAAATTTGTCCAAAAAATGACAAATTATACATTTTTGAAAAGCCCTTGACCATGCCATTTAAAATATGCAAAAATATTTGCAAAATTTTAAATAACCTGATTTTTAATCAAGAAAAACTAAAAATGTGCAAATTTCCTTTGACCGGTTGTTTGCAAAAAATTTGCAATTTTTTTTTCGCAAAACTTGTGCAATCCATTTCCTTATGTCATAGGCTTTCCAAAAAGCTAAATTTTATCAAAATCTGATAAGTGAAAGTGGGTCAAAACAAAGATTTAGTTTGTTACAGGCAAAAGCAGTCATTCAGGCAATGTGCCTGAGGACTCAGGCAGTTAGTATTAAAGCCCGGTTTTAGGCCTAAAGGGAGGGCTTTGGGTATGTAAGAAAAGTCAGAAAATTTCAACAGCCTCAACCCAATACTTTTTGAGTTATGTAAAAAAAACTACAGGGGGGGTCAAATTGACCCCCCCCCCCCAGCGGGAACAGGGTTAAGACCCCAATATCAATTCTATTTAACATGGAGAAAAGAATAAAGTAAAGATTTTTCAGACAACATTTGATTTTTTCCCACATTTGTCAGTTTCATTTGATTTATTAAGAAGGATTCATGAAATTTACAGTTATCATTTGCTTACCATGGGCATAGATTGTCGTCTTTTCATGTTGATGGATGGCATAGAGCCATGAATAGTTCCAATCTTTCCCACCAGAGGTTTGTTGATTTCGACACAACTGGATTTGGTTTGGTTCAACAACTCTTTAAAGATGGCGGAAATGTTCTGGTTTTCCTGCACCAAACCAAACCAAAGTAATTTCCTAATTACAAAATTAGAAAACAGCAAAATATTTGTTCAAATCTTTGAAGATTTACAAATCTTTGAAATGAACTAAGAGTTAAAATTTTATAAAAAGTAACAACTGCGTTAATTCAAACTATAATTCGAATATTGTATTTGACTACTATAAAAAGAAATTAAGAGTAAAGCATAAATTAATAATGGTGATATTAAAACATTATCTTGTAAAGAAAAATATGCTTAATTTTTGGAGAGCAAAAGAAAATCAAAATTCCAGTAAATTTTGTGAAAAAAAGAAAAAAATACAATTACAGTGATAACCAGAAAATCTGAGATAGAAATAAGTAATTGCTTTCAAAAAGGTAATGTTTGCGTAAATTAAGTGAACCTTCATACAAAGATGGAAATACCAACTTACAACGGTTCACTTGAAACATAAATATCCAGTTCATACTAAATCAGACAAAGCTGTTTAAGGGTACCGTTGTAAATCGGGGATTGCAATTGAAATTATGCTTACAGTTCCTTTAAGACGTTATTTATAGTTTACATATAAATTCTTGGTTCCTTAGCACTGCACTCCACATAACCATTCTCCCAGTCCAGGGTTACAACTGCCTCTGTCTCCTCCTTGAGAAATAAATAAATTTTATTTTCATGAAATTCGGATCATCTTTTAGTACAGTAATTACCAGAAAGACGATTTAAGAGGAAGAAAGACGATTTAATAGAAATATGTTGGTGTTGTGTCTCATGCTCATAACTTGATCTGAAAGTCGTCTTCCTATTTCAGAGTTTTCTGGTTATTACTGTACGGAGTGATTCTGCATTTCAATTATTATCTTTCACGTCTTTTCCAAATGAATGAGTTTTCAGATGAAAAAAAGGTTAAAATTAGAATTGCATTGAAAATTTCTTCAACTTTACTATGAGACCAAAGAGATAAGGATAAATGATTAAAACGCTTTTCGAATTAAAATTAAAATATTTAGTTACAATTTCTAAGTTTCTCAGTGAATATGATATAACTCGACAATGTATTCCTTTGTGCAAAAATATTGGTGAATGGATATCTGAATTGTTTTTGCTAGTCTTTTGTACGATTCTAAACACCAGTGACGTTTTGGAAATGCAACCTGGATTTTATTGAATTTCATAATGCAACAAAGAGCTATGATTGTTATAAAAGAAAGTTCTTTCAACTTTTGAATTTAATTTACAAATATGTTTACTATTTTTGAAGTAAAAATACAATTGGTTAAATTGATTTAGGATGAGCACAATAAAATTATGATTACTGTGAGATTTAAATTAAATTAACTAAAGAAATATATTAATACTAGGCTTTCAGTGCACTTTGTTCCTCTATCTGTTATCAAATTATCTTTGTAAACATTATAAAACAATGACTGAAAAAAATCGTGGATTTCAAAATATTAGTTCGTCGATTTTCGAAATGTTAGTTTTGATATTCTTATCATTCAAAAACCTTCCCTGGGATCAGGCCAGGTCCCACACAAAATTTGGACCTGGTCGGTCCAGCCGTTTTTTCGTTTATTATTGGTTACACTCTAACCTTTCCCCTATATATATATATTATATAGATTTGATTTAGATTTTACCTTCGGTAGCTCTCTCACTAAATCCAACTTGTTCCCAACAATAACTATAGGAGTGTCAGGACCTGAAACACACATTCTTTTAATTCTATAATTTTTTTGTATGCCGATTCCGTTAGCGCCTGATCCAATAAGGGTTCAGTTATGTGTTTGGTGTCTATTCTGAACTAATAGAAATTGCATGGCGGTAACATCTATCTTTCTATCTATCTCATTATCCAATTAGTGATATGAATCCTTTAATCAGTAAAAGGAAATATTTACTTCTACTGAATCTATAGTGGTCTGACGTTTTTTACTATAACTATTAACTACCTTTAACGTTGGACTAGTATAACAAACGTCAAACGTACTAAAACAGTTAAAAGACAAAACGTTGCACTCTTAAAAATTCGATGATTTTGAAGAGCCATTGTTAAATAAATTTAAAATCACTCACTTTTTAAGATATTAATCACAGATGACTGAATCAGTGAATAAAGGCAAAGCTGGGTTTCAAAGCTAGTTTAATAATAACTAAACCTTTTTTTACTTGAACTTTCCCAAACTGAATTGTGTTCTTTCAATTTTCATTCATTCTATTAAACTTGGCTTTCAATAGATTTTCTTCCATTAAGGGGTGTATTGTGTTTAAAAACTGATTTGAGTTCTCAGAAGAATCAGTATAAGAATACAACCAAAGAAAACATGGATGCAATTCTCAATTTTATTTTTGTAAATATCGTAATTTAAAGTAAACCTCAATTAAAAAAAAATTCACAACGGTACCCTTCAAACCTTTCTAATAATGTGGATGAAAACGTTATTTTTAAAAGTTTTTAATTCTGAAAATGTTTCCAATGTTTCTGCAGCAAGCAAAATGAATTTCACTTTTGTAGAGAAACAATAAGTCAAAATAAACAGTTTTCTGAAACAAAACATGGATATCTGATTGATACTTGATCAAACAAAACTTTTATTTAAAGGTACTGCTGTGAGTTCGACGTGCCAGTTTACCAATGAAGGATTACTTGTGATAACGTTTTCTGTCCCTTTTATCTAGATATTTGGATTTTTAAATTTTTTTCAAAAAGCAAACGAAGAATATTAGATAAAATCCAAAAGAAGAAGAAAAGTCCGGAAGTACAATAACCTTTCATAAACTTTCTGAAAATGGGAGAACACTATATTCAAAACGTTTTGACATACAGTGTGAACCAGACTACTTTTTAAAAGGAAGACGACTTTTAAACTTATGTCATAATTTTAAAATATCCACTAGGTACATGAGACACAGCATTTGTGGAGTGTGCTCAGCCCATTTCACTTCATGAATGATGTTGAAACGACTAGTAATTGCTGTGAAACAAGATTAATTATACTTTGAAAATTATTTCAATGTCGTCTTCTTATTCAACAGTTTGCTGATTATCACTGAAGATAGATTCTTAGAGATGCAGCTCAGCTTTAAAGTAGGTCAGAGGGCTGCATTATGGAGAAAAAAAAATGTCTCCAAAAGTTGAAAAATGTACAACAAATTAGAAATTTTAACCTTTGGCCTCCAAAACTAGATCTCTCAGTCTTCCAGCTTCGTCAAAAGTTTCAGGATCGCTAAACGCAAAAACATTTTTTGACTTATAAGCTTTCAAAAAATTTCTTGGATGGTGATGTTCTCATAATTACATGAAATTATATATATCGAAAATACTCGGTGGAATAAAAATTCTTCAATTAAAGATTGAGCTTTCTTGACATATAACCCTATCACAATTGGGCTATTTTTGTTAAATATATACGAAGGAGGGGGAGGTGTTCCCTACCCCCTCCCCCACCCCCTTTTGCCCTTATGTAAAGTTGAGATAGGAGAGTATGATACATGTTTCTAGTCAACTGCTCATTAAACAAAATAGACCTCTATCTTTATTGTTTAGGGTGCAATTGGGAGGATTTTTTAAAAGTTCAAAAAGTACGTCGTTAAAATGTTCAAATTTTGACAAATATTAACATGCGCAGATACATGTTGTTACAATTATTTTTTAAGGGATTTTCAAATATATATATGTTGGCCATGTAACTTAATTAATAAAAAATTATAAACCATTTCTGATTTTGTTTTAAACCGACCCGCATTTTGATTGTCCTCAACCATACACTATGCAAAGCAAACGAATTGGCAAAGGGAATTGAGTCTTTGCAACAAACTCAAGTTTTCGAATCCCTATTTCTTAGCAACCTGATGATTTAAACCTGTGATATTTTAAACTTAGATAATTTTAGCCAACAAAATATCTAAGGTCTATGGCATTGGGTTGGAAATATATAGGGATTAGAAAATCCGGCTTTTGTGGCTAAAACTCAATTCCTTTGTTCACAACTATGAATACTATTATTTCGATTCAATTTAATTAATTTAAATCACATTTTATGAAAAGAGCTGTGGGCGTCATTCTTTGTATAATTTTTTAAAGAAATAATGATATTCTTTTCTTTAAACCTTTACTTCATAAAAATTAAGAAGCTGAAAACCAAACTGCAAACCCACCAAGTTTGTTCCTTTTTATACGAAACTGTGCAATAATGAATATACGAAATGAATAGAGAATTGGGAGAATTCCCTTCAAAAATACGTAATCAGCCATTTTTTAGAAAATATAAATAAATGTTAAATGTTAATTCCTAAGATTGAAGACGATAATCACAGCATCAGCTGAGTATAGAGAAACACGGATCATTGAAGGAAACTCATAAACATAGCATCCTCCAGTATCCTAGGGGAGAAATAAGATACAGTGATAACCAGAAAACTGTGGAATAGTAAGACGACAGTAAAGCAATTCTGACGTCCATTTGATGTTGTTATTAAACCACTTATTAAGTGAAATGGGTCTGTTTACAATGCACAATTGCTGTGTCTCATGTTTATTGGAATTTTTAAAGTCATAAATTGAGTTTAAAAGTCGACTTACTATTCCAAAGTTTTTTGGTTATTACAGTACTGGAAACATTATTTAAATTTTTTTTTAAGTCAGTAGAAGATAAAGATTAAGATCAAGAATGAATGTAGAGTTCAAGATCAAGATCAAGATCAAGATCAAAATCAAGATTAAGATCAAGATCAAGATCATGATCAAGATCAAGATGAAAATCAAAATCAAGATTATAGTCAAGATCAAGATTAAAATGTAAATCAAGATTAAAATCTAGATCAAGATCAAGGTTAAAATCTAGATCAAGATCAAGGTTAAAATCTAGATCAAGATCAAGGTTAAAATCTAGATCAAGATCAAGATCAAGATCAAGATCAAGATCAAGATTAAGATCAAGATTAAACTCTATATTAAGATTAAAATCTAGATTAAGATTAAAATCTAGGACAAGATAAAAATCTAGATAAAGATTAAAATATAGATCATGATTAAAATCAGATCAAGATTAAAATCTAGAATCAAGATTAAAATCTAGATCAAGATCAAAATCTAGATCAAGATTAAAATCTAGAATCAAGATTCCAATCTAGATCAAGATTAAAATCTAGATCATGATTAAAATTAGATAAAGGTTAAAATCTAGATCAAGATTAATATCTAGATCAAGATTAAAATCTGGATCAAGATTAAAACCTAGATCAAGATTAAAATCTAGATCAAGATTAAAATCTAGATCAAGATTAAAATCTAGATCAAGAATAAAATCTAGATCAAGATTAAATTCAAGATTAAGATTAAATTCAAGATCAAGATTAAAATCTAGATCAAGATTAAAATCTAGATCAAGAGTGCGGACTCAACTGAGCAATGAGTATAAAATGGTAACTGTTATATCTATATATATAAAGTAATAATCTCTGTTTGTTTTTTGGATGTCAGCTCATAAGTCATGAACCCATAGATGATATAGATATCTATATCTATTTGTATATCTATTAAAGTTTTGATTGAGAAACTCGGTAGAATCACAGGAATGTTTTTATATGAGTTTAAAAGTTCTGACCTGAGTTTGTCGGATATTGTATGGAAAGTTCAGTTTGTCCGGCAAAGGTGGGTTCCCTGGCTAGTACCTGTATATTTAAAGATAGTTCCCTGGCTAGTACCTGTATATTTAAAGATAGTTCCCAGGCTAGTACCTGTATATTTAAAGATAGTTCCCAGGCTAGTACCTGTATATTTAAAGATAGTTCCCAAGCTAGTACCTGTATATTTAAAGATAGTTCCCTCGCTAGTACCTGTATATTTAGAGATAGTTCCCAGGCTAGTACCTGTATATTTAAAGATAGTTCCCTGGCTAGTACCTGTATATTTAAAGATAGTTCCCAGGCTAGTACCTGTATATTTAAAGATAATTCTCCTCCTCCGATTTCGAACTCACCCCTATACATCTCCTCTACTGTCTCCCTGTAACAAGGTTTATAGATTAGTACAAGATTTAAAGAAATTGTCTGAATATAGATAAGTACAATGATATAAAGAAATTGTCTGGATATATAGATAAGTACAAGAATTAAAGAAATTGTCTGGACATACAGATAAGTACAAGATTTAAAGAAATTGTCTGGATTAGGTTGTCTAACTTATAAGATAAACTATCAGTACGTAGGAATAGGCATATTATTGAGGTTTGTTTCTAATCATTAGGGTCTTTTGACTTTTTGGTGACCTGTTACGAATGTGTTCCCTATTTATAATTGTATGCAAAGTTTTAAATTTATTACATTTTGAAGAATTGAGGAAAAAATCTCTGCCCAAAGATATTGCCCAAAGATATTGCCCAAAGATATTGCACAAAGATATTGCCCAAAGATATTGCCCAAAGATATTGCACAAAGATATTGCCCAAAGATATTGCCCAAAGATATTGCCCAAAGATATTGCACAAAGATATTGCCCAAAGATATTGCCCAAAGATATTGCACAAAGATATTGCACAAAGATATTGCCCAAAAGTTTTCAAAACGATTTGAAAAATGTCTCAAGAAATAGTTTGTAAAATCGTTTTGTTCCGAGAGAAGAATTTATCATAATGTAGGAAAAGCTAAGTTTAGGAGCATCTTTGAATCCAAAAATAGACCTAAACGATGATTATCAGAAACTAAAATTATTTTATATTTTGAGGATTTAAGGAAATGAAAGAAAAAAAAAAGTGGATTTACTTAATACTTTCCGTAAATTGAACTGTCCAATCTTATCAAAACTAGGTGTTAAATTTAAGAAACAAACTTATATAGTAAAGCAAACATGTTAAAATTCTTTGCGTTATTTATAAATAATCGAAAACTAGTTTTAAAAAACTCTGGCTATCCCTGAGATGGGGTAATAGTTTAATTCTCAAAGGCATACAATTCCTTTCGTTGGAAGGTTATCATGAAAACACGAATTACGCATAATTTTAACAGTTTTTTTCTGAATTTTTACATACAATGATAACCAGAATAGTCTGAAATAGGAAGACGACTTAAAGACTGAAGTTATTTTAGCCCTTTGAACCGATCCAATTGACATAATATGTTTTTTTTTAACTTTAATAATTTATTCTATTTAAATTTACAATATTTTTTGACATAGTATTTGATTTTTTAAGTTTCCATTAAAACTATTCGTTTTGTAACAACATCAAATACATTTAAGTGTCGATATAATGTCGTCTTCCTATTCTATTGTTTTCTGATTCTCAGTGTAGTATAAGAAAAAGTCATGGCCAATAAAACAATGCTTAAAATTAGAAATAAAATTTAAAATGATTTTAAGAATCTTATATTTTTGTATTTAACATCTTAATATAAAAATCTGATATCTAAATTAAAATGTGACTTATTCCGATCTACTAGTTTGCCATATTATTGATAAAGCTAAGTCGTTTGTATTATATTCTAAACAAAAACATTGCAATTGTTATTGAAACCTACCTGTATGACGTAGGGAACGTATCATAAAGAAATTGTGATATTATCGAGGTTTTACCACTTCTAGGACTTCCCAGGATGACAATCCTTGCAAAATAAAAACATTTATGAAAAAATAATGTATTTCATTTTAATTTGAAAAATAACGTAAGAATTGGATAAAGAGACCTTTTTTCTCATAAATGTTAAAAGCAAAATTCAAATTGTGTCTATTGAATTTGGAATCTTAACCAATTAAGTAACAATGGAATTAATGAGTCTTTTTAAAATATTTTTGTGTAAAGTTGTACATGGATAAGCTGTTAAATATTTGCTATTCATCTAAATTAAAAATCTAAGAATAAGATTTTAAAATTAAGAGTCCTGGTAGAAGGTTGTCTAGCGTATGGTTTTACTAATTAATAATACAAAACTACTTTACAATAGTGTAGTTCACGTTGAACTGTAGACAGAAGGAGAATGCTTTACAGAAGGTGTAGTTCACGGTGAACTGTATACAGAAGGAGTATACTTTTGCAATAGTGTAGTTCACGGTGAACTGTAGACAGAAGGAGAATACTTTACAGTATAGTCCACGGTGAACTGTATACAGAAGGAGAATACTTTACAATAGTGTAGTCCACGGTGAACTGTATACAGAAGGAGAATACTTTACAGAATGTGTAGTTCACGGTGAACTGTATACAGAAGGAGAATACTTTACAATAGTGTAGTTCACGGTGAACTGTAGACAGAAGGAGAATACTTTACAGAATGTGTAGTTCATGGTGAACTGTATGCATGCAGAAGGAGAATACTTTACAATAGTGTAGTTCACGGTGAACTGTAGACAGAAGGAGAATATTTTACAGAAGGTGTAGTACAGAAGGAGAATATCAAGTTTATACGACATTCTTAAGACGTCTTTGTGACCTCGTAGCTCATCTAGTTTTGATTTAATTTAAGCACAAGTGCGAAAATAGCAAATTTTTCTGGTTTCAGATTCAAATTCAACACATTTTTCTTTTTCCAATAGTTCTGTTATCAGATGGGGTTATTATTGTAACTTAAGTAAAATTCACTTTAGTTTGACGTGAGTTGAACCAACTGCTCCGATCAATCTTTCTCATTCAAAAAAAATATTCCATCTAAAAATAAATATACCTGTAAGACGAGGATCTGGGTTCACTACAGGAGGAAGCTCCGCTGTCAACACTATTCCTGCTCTGTCTTCCACGGATAACCTTCCCTAGCTCCTCAAAAATACTCCCTCGGCGTTCACTCCCCCGCCGTCCACCACCTAGATTATCACTCCCACGCCTGACGGCGACCAGCTGATCACTACCCCGCCTCACCGTCACTAAATGATCGCTTCCCCCTCTTTTACTTTCTAAGGAACCCGACATACGCCGCTGTATTTCTGAAAAAAAGTTTTAATGAAAGTTTAATATTTTCATTTAAAATGGTATTATTTATAAACCTTTCCTTGGAGGGTTGCAATATAAAAGGAACTATAACTACTCGCCCTAAACTCTAAATTACAAATCCTCATATTTTTGCAACCTAGTGTCGTTATAAACCTTTAATATTTCCGAACCACATTGACTATATTGAATAGATTATAGGCATAAGTTAATCAAAGTGTTCAGTTCAGTCATTTGACAGACTTTTCATTTTTTCATTTATTTTGTTTATTCAAGAAATTTTATTATTGATGTAGCTAAACCTTTAAACAGTTTTTACAATTTTTTCGGAAATAGCATGAAACCTTATTTTATAGGATGATTTAAAAATATAAATTTTATAGAATCTTCGAAAACTTTGATAAAATCTGATAAAATGTTGGAATTGATTAAGAAAATAATGTTAGAAATTGCTATTCGTTCTCTCGGCGACCAGATTTATTGAATAGAAAGGTATGGTTAAACTACATAAACGTAGTTCAGCCACTTCTCTTCGGCTTAAACAATATAATTGGTTGAACTGCGTCTGTGCGGTTCAGCTCCATACATAAAATCCGGTCCCAGGGCCTGCGTACATGTTTTTATATTTTACGGGAGAAAAACACTTTAACCTTACATCCAGAACCTTTATTTTTAATTCGTTTTAATTACTTTTTTGTTGAACATAACAATTCTTTTAAACTTAATTATTTTGTTTTTTATTTTATTTTCCTTTCAATAAATGCGTAACTTTAAGAAAAGGTCCTTGTTCCAGTAAGCTGAGACTTTCGATCACAATTTATCCCATTATACATAGACCTTTCTTTTCTTACTTTTTTACGGAGGAATTCGTTTTTATGGAACGGGTATTTCTGAGTAAAAGACCAAACTGTGATTGAATTCAAATTGAAGTAACCAAACTCATATTTCCCTGGTTAGTCCACGGTGAGGGGGAGTAATGCAACCCCCCCCCCCCTGGATTTTTCAAGTGAGTACAATGGTCCAATGTTACCCCTGGAAAATTGCGGGAGAAAACATCCTTTTGTTACAATCTATGTAATTCTTCACTTACCTATTTACCTTCAAACAATTGTACCTTTTATATTCATGATGTTTGTCTGCTTGTCTGTGTGTGTGTTGTCCCAGAGTAGGAAATGTAATCCTTTTTGATCCTTGGATAAACCTATATAAGTATACAATACAATATGGGTGTCTTACTAATCTGATCAAATCAAGTTTTTTCCTCACCTTTTTGGACTTGTGTTTTAACCTTTTAGTTCAGCATTCTTCTGCAACAGAATTCATAATAAAAAATTTTATAAAAGAGACTGTGTACTTAATTTAAATATAATCTCCAAATAAAGAAACACATATCCAATTCCGAACCATATCTTTAGAAGCTTTGTCAAATCAAGAATTAATTTTACATATTCATGTTTTTTTCTCTTCCAAAGTTGGTTATTTTAAATTATGGTTTCTATAAAAAGTGACATGTGGAAACAATAATAAAAATGGGAGAATTAAAGACTGTTCACGTTACACTAGCGTACCGTTGTGAATTGGGCGTGTCCCTCTTTAAATAAAGGGTACTTGAAAAACCACAGACAATTAAATACACATTTGTAAATTTGATTGGAATTCGAAAAGAAACAATAGAAAAAAGGATTAACATGTCGATGATATTTCCAGGAAAGGACCAGAAATATAAAATACCATTTTTACTACTGCTCGACTGGAGGATCTTTTTAATCTATTGCAATTTACTTTGTACAAAATTTTATAAGCAATATTGAGTGTTCAATATCATATGAAGACTCTAGATCAAATATTCGTCTGTCTACTGTCTACTGTCTACTGTCCAATGTCTACTGTCTAATGTGTACTGTCTACTGTCCAATTTCTACTATCTACTGTCTACTGTCTACTGTCTACTGTCTACTGTCTACTGTCTACTGTCTACTGTCTACTGTCTACTGTCTACTGTCTACTGTCTACGGTCTACTGTCTACTGTCTACGGTCTACTGTTTACTGTCTACTATCTACTGTCTACTGTCTACTGTCTGCTGTCTACTGTCTAGTGTCTACTGTCTACTGTCTACTGTCTACTGTGAACTTGAAAAATAACGGTTTTAATACACTTATATATCTTTTTATAAAGTATTCCATTGTTATTTAACAGCATATTTACTCTTTATTGTTAATTTCTATTCAAACCGTATTTTTGTTCCCAGTAAATTTGCAGCCAAGGTTATAGTACTAAAGATTTTAGAATGAAGCCAGAGCTTCCCCCCCCCCTGCCCAGTTTAGAAAATGGTTTCGAATAAAAATACAGATAGTTTTCTTATAAAAATGGAGGGAAAAGCGGTATAAAATGGAGGGTTATCTGTTAAACAATAGAGAATACGTTTATACAACATGGAGAGGAATGTTTTAAATTGAATGGAGGGTGGGTAGCAGGTTATCAAGGAGTTCAAATATAGTATTAAAAAATCAATTGATCCCCATAACAAGAATGTCTTGAATTTACATATTATTCTAATCATAATATATTTGAATAAAAGGAAATTTAACTTAATTATTCGATTGAAATTCTGCTTCATTTCTTTTTGAATTTTTCTTTAATCTTTTTTTCATTTTATTCCAATATATTCCAACCCCGTTGCTTGAATACCCATGTCAGCTTAAACTGCGACAAATTCATAAAACACAAAATTCTAAAGAGTTCATTTTTCATATTTTTCGTCATTAATCATATTCTCGGCCATTATTCAAGGGACGAATTATTTATTTTCAACAGAAAAAAATAAACTTTGCATATAACAGAAAAATGAAATCGATAGAAAGTGTAAAAACATCCATTCACAAAGTACTTTAACGCAGGGCACTGCATCATTTATATTTTGTACTTATATTTACTTATAAAAATATATAATATATATATATAACTGATAATATTGGGTTAGACCCATGAAACATTTTGTCTTGGAAGAAATATATAATTAAACATCTAAAACATAAACTGAAAAAAGTTGAAAATATTATAAAGATATATATTTCTTTTTTAATTATAATTCTTTTTTTAATAAAATGTATAATATAAAATATATATATATACATATTCTTAAAATAAGTCTAGAACATGTTCTATTGTTTATTAAGAAACCACACTAAGAAATGATAAAATTTAGTTTTAAAAACAAGAATCTATATTTTCCATGTAAAAAGATTAAAAGTTGTAAAAAAAAACATACTAAAAGAATAAATGGAAGACTCCCCTTGGTTTAACTACAAAAGATTAGACTTCAGAGAGGACTGTTTTCATGTAATCATGATTCCCTGCAACTGTTAACTTGTTTCTTTCTTTCCCAAATCATAACATAAGCCAAGAAAAAGGCTATTTTAGTCAAAGGTCGTATTTACAGTCTTTTTGTGTCACCCTATATTCAAGTTTCAAAATGTGTAAAGCAATATATATATTCATAGAATATATACATGAATATGAGAAGCTGTATTGTATGAAAGTAAATGTAAAACTGCAGGAGGATATTATATATTAAGGTACATACTGTTAACACTATATATATACCTCACACACATATTAAAGGGAGTGTTCGAAAAAAAAAAAATATAAAACCTAAATTAACTTTCCCCGTTCCAAACTAGTAATGAACATTTCAGACAAATTTTTTGTCTAAAAAAAGATGAAAAGATAATTTTGACACCCTTTATTTTTAACAGTAAAGTATCGATAAAGTATTGAATATGTGTGTTCACACTTGTGAAGAATAAAAAGTGTCTCACAAACAGTTTAGGAATTGTCAGAAAATAATCAATAAAAGTGATTGTTTTTTAGGACAAAGAAATGTTTGAATATAGAATCTTTTTTATTTCAGAAATGAGGATGTCCAATTTTTTAACAAAAAAAAATTGTACATCAAATATTTATGTTTTATCAATGAATTGCGTTAATTTTGGCTGGACCGATTAGACCGAATTTTTTTGTGGACACTCCCGGGTGGCCGGTGGGTGATATTTACTAAAAAAAAATTAAAAAATTTTGTCTCAATTTTTTCTTAACATTTTTTTTCCACGGGCAAAGCCGTGCCCTTCAGCTTAAACATTTCTTTTAGATCGGCATAACTTTAAAACTGTTTGACTAGAAACCAAAATTTAATGAATTACAGAGGTCTCTTAATTACCTTCACTGGGTCAAATCCCGAATCGCTAATTCAAATCCTCATAAATCTTTTACTAAGAAATCGTGTAGGGGGCCCGAGGTTCTCTTCCCCCCCCCTCAATAAGCATGAAATAGAGCCTTTATTTGATTGAAGTTTTGATTTTTGAATATTTTCTCTTGTTGAAAATATATTGCTTTGTGTAAACATTTCAACCCTAATCTCGTGAAAGCTATTTGTATTGTGTACTGCAGTTAAACTGGTTTTTGTTTATCTTTTCTTTATCTCGTATTTCCCCCTCCTCGCCAAATTTCCCCTTATCTCTTTGTGTATTCTGAATGTATAAAAAGACTGAGATCTATGACATCTACCCATTCAAACATTGTTTCAACACGGTCTTAGTCAGATTCACAGTGGACTACACCATATATACTCATTTCATAATGGACAAACCTTATAGCCATTTCTTAGTAGACTACACCATATTCTTCTTTCATAATTGTCAAACCATATAGTCATTTCTTAGTAGACTACACCATATTCTTCTTTCATAATTGTCAAACCATATAGCCATTTCTTAGTAGACTACACCATATTCTTCTTTCATAATTGTCAAACCATATAGTCATTTCTTGTAGACTACACCATATTCTTCTTTCATAATTGTCAAACCATATAGTCATTTTTGTAGACTACAGCATATACTCTTTTCCTAATGGTCAAACTGTATTATAGTCATTTCTTGTAGACTACACCATATTCTTCTTTCATAATTGTCAAACCATATAGTCATTTCTTAGTAGACCACATCATATTCTTCTTTCATAATTGTCAAACCATATAGTCATTTCTTAGTAGACTACACCATATTCTTCTTTCATAATTGTCAAACCATATAGTCATTTCTTAGTAGACTACACCATATTCTTCTTTCATAATTGTCAAACCATATAGTCATTTTTGTAGACTACAACATATACTCTTTTCCTAATGGTCAAACTGTATTATAGTCATTTCTTTGTAGACCACACCGTATCATCATTTCTTAGTGCACTAAACCATACAGTCATTTCCTAGTGGACTACACCATATAGTCATTTCCTAGTGGACTACACCATATAGTCATTTCTTTGTGGACTAAATCATAAAGTCTTTTCTTAGTGGACTACACTTTACACCGTTTAGTCATTTCTTAGTGGACTACACCACTCCATACAGTTGAATACACCACATAGTCATTTCATAATGGTCTACACCATATAGTCATTTTCTAGTGGACTTCACCTTTTAGTGTTTTTTTTGTGTAGAATAAACCAATTAGTCATTTTCTAATGGTCAAATTGTATAGCCATTACTTAGGGGACTACACCATTGCGTCATTTTCTTGTGGAGTACACCACATGATCATTTCTTTGTTGACTACATCATGTATTCATTTCTTAGTGGACTACACCATATAATCATTTCCTAATTGTCAAACCATATAGTCTTATATGGTCATTTCTTATTGTGGACTGCGTCATATTGTCATATTGTCATATTGTCATATTGTCATATTTCTTAGTGGACGCCACCAAATTGGTATTTTCTTTAATGGACTACTCAAAATAAATTTTATGAAATTTTCAATGACTTGCACTGGAAAATTTTATGCCACGTGTTTGTTGTAAATTTTGTTTGACCTTTTGATTAAAATTTTTTTCTGCTGGCTTTGCTTGAAAATTCAGGAGCCAGGACATACTTAGATTTATACGTAGTTGCGCGTGTTTAATGACAGCTGCAGAATACACATAGTTCCGCGTGCTTAATCACAGTTGCAGAATACACTTAGTTCCGCGTGTTTAATCACAGCTGCAGAATACATTTAGTTCCTCGTGTTTAATGACAGCTGCAGAATACACTTAGTTCCGCGTGTTTTATCACAGCTGCAGAATACACTTAGTTCCGCGTGCTTAATCACAGCTGCAGAATACACTTAGTTTCGAGTGTTTAATCACAGCTGCGGAATACTCTTGGTTCCGCGTGTTTAATGTCAGCATGCAGAATACACTTAGTTCCGCGTGTTTAATGACAGCTGCAGAATACACTTAGCTCCGCGTGTTTAATGAAAGCTAC